CTGTTGATGATGCTGATGGCCGTGACTCGGGGGAGCAGGGAGCGTGGACGGCTGCTCAGGCTTGCCGGCCATGGTCCAGGTCCAGGTCCAGCAGCGCGGCGGATGACGACACCCACGACATCACTGGCACGACGTGGCACGTAGCTCGCCTACGTGGAGACACCGGCGGCGGATACTGCCGCATTCTCCGTGAGCCAGCTCACGATTCCTCACGCGCTCGACAATGACGATGAACCTTCCGCACGTCCACGCAGAAGGGTGCTCGCACTCTCGCCGATGTTCCTGCTGCACGTACCGTTGCGTCTCTCCGCGTAGAGGCGTAGCACGTAGCACGACATAATATTACGTCGATCGCGCGACGAACATGGAACTCCTTACCCCCCGGGGGCGCGCGAAAGGATGTTTCTTTCCTACGTGGAAAAAGCTACGTGGGGGAAGGCGGGAATCGTTTGACGCTCCTACGTCGCGGGTCGTACTCGGTTTAACCGGTGCGTGTTTGGCGCGCGTAGTACACGCTGTCGCTGCTCGCCGGCGGTGCCGGTGCCGGTGCCGGTGCCGGTCAATGGCCGTCTAACCTCCTTGACGCGGCGGGGATCGCCGGGCATGGCGCGGGACGCGCCGAAGATGTGTTTTCCCTTCCGCAGTTGGCTCGCCTTTCTTCTCCTCCTTCTCCTCTCAACCTCCTTTCCTGAGGATAGACGGACGCTCGTCAAAATGTCGCAGCTCGCGACACGTCGTCGCACGCGAACGCGATCGGAATTCGAAACGCCGCACCATCGGGTGCCTCCGAGAGCCGGCTCACGTTTTCCTCCGCTACTTTCTCCCTCTCTCTCTCCCTCTCTCCCCTGCAAAAGTCTCGCTTCCGCGGTGACGTTTCACGTCAATTCCTTTTGCCGCGCGGGCGAGTCGTTACGTAGCATGATCGTGCACGAGGTGGTGGCGAGCAAGGTCGCGACTGCTGCTAACTTGACTCGAAACTCTCATAGCCGGCGGGCCGACGCGCGTAGGCGAGCCGCTTGTTTATCGCCGGGGAATTACGTCTCGGAGCAAGCGGACGAGAGAGAAAGAGAGAGAGAGAGCCTTACGTACGCGAGCACACGCACACACACACACACACACGCACGCACACACGCACGCATACACGCATACACACACACACACAGACACACACACACAAGGTCTCGCTCGCGACTCAAGGTGACGGCCCGTAGTTGCCGCCACCCGTTTACTCCGCTCCGCTCCGCTCGGCTCCGGAGCGACGCGATCCGCGGACGCGATGTATAAATGTATAATCGACGGGTCGAAGCCGAAGATTCTCCCAACTGCGCCACGGCTATATTCAACTATATTCACCACGGACAATTCAAAATCGGAGCGCGCCGAGTTACTCGCGACGGTTACTCGCTTTACGCTTACCGAGAGAGTCTCTCTCGAACTTGTTAACTGCACCCGGCGACTCCGTCGCCGGTGTCAACGGTCCGCGCTTTACTCACAGCCACAACACCATTACTCCGTCCTCGATCGAATCGCGTTATAATGCACTCCGCCGACGAACGGAACGAACGAACGAACGCAAAGACGCGAACATGCGCGCGCGCGCGCACTCAATTATGTCATTACGCAAAACGGCACACTGCTTGGGTATATCTCGCCGAAAGGCGAGAACCGGGTGGAGAGGAGGGGAGAGGAGGAGGGGAGGGGAACCCTCGCACGGTCACGCGACAACGATCCCGACGAATGCGCGAGGCTCATGGACTCACGATGATAACACAGCCGAACGGCGTGCCATCTCCCTCGACACTGACTGCGTACGCGACGCGAGTTTAATCGCGCCGTACTCGGCTGGAGTCGCCTCGAGTCGGCGCTCGATCGGTAATATGGCGCGAACGCGCACGCCGTACAAAAAACACTTTTACGCCGCTGGCATAACGATTCGGGTTAAATCGCGCACGGACGGACGAACGTCGTGTTATGACGCTGTGTCATCGTCACAGCAGCAGCAGCAGCAGCAGCGAGTATCACGACCACCACCACCAGCACTCTTCCACCACCACCATCACTATCATTTCCCCACTGGCTCGCATACCACTACTACTTGATGTTACTACTACCACCACCACCGCCACCAGCAGCAGCAGCAGCAGCACTACTATCGTACTACGAGCGAGCGAGCGAGCGAGCGAGCGAGGGAGAGAGAGAGAGAGAGAGAGAGAGAGAGAGAATACGAACTCGGGTTAAGTTAACTAACCCTCTGAAACACCTGCGCGCTACTCCGTTTCTCACGGGTGACGGGGGACCTCTCACCTCACCTCACCTCACCTCATCGCACCTCACCTCACCTCACCTCACCACACCTCACCTCACCTCCCCGCTATCGCGCGGTTATTATGTTATTTTTCGTGACGAGAGCGATGGTAGCGGCGCGGACGCGGCGACGACTACGCGCTTCGTACGATCGCGTTCGCCGTCCTGCGTTTAACGCGCCCGATCACTCACCGCCGGCCGACACGAACGTCGCGCGGCACCGCCGTTCGCCGTTCGGAATGCCGTGCCCACCAGATGCTCTACCCCGTCCCCGTGCGCTACGCTCTTTTCGCGTAACTGATATTGAAAAAATATGGCTCCCACCGCATACCCAGAAACCTATGCGGCATCCCGACGGCTGGCTGGCTGCCTTGCTCGCTGCCTCTCTCACTCGAACCACTCGCACGTCACTAAGCACGTCGCTAAAAACATCGACCCGCGCGACGCGATGCATCGCGAACGACGGTGTCGCTATCCATCGGACGGGGCAAGCGTTAGTTTCGCGGTCGTCCCCGCGGACTTTTCTCTCTCTCTCTCTCCCCTCTCTCGGTAGAATCGCGATGACTCTCTCTTTCATGCGGAACGATTGAATCCGCCAGTCACAGTCGAAATAACGAGCGATTCATGAATCGACGTTTCGTTAATCTCTTTACTATGAATCTTCATGTAGATCGATTACAAATTGGCAAATAATTGCAACTTCATAAGATTCTGATTAGTCATCGAATAACGATCGCGTGTGCGTGTTGATAAAACACAACAAAATATCAATTTTTTTTTATCACTTTTAATTTCATTTGTCATTTTTTAATTTTATGTGCCTATTCATTTTACTTATTAAATTTTTACAATTACTTGAAGCAAATTCAAATAATAGAATTTCCTGGCACTTAAAATTTAATTTTGATATGTAAATTATTTTTTAATAAAAATCAAAAAAACTGTCTTATAAATTAAATATATCATTACAGCGACATTAATTTGCGACGAATTAGTAAGAAATTGAAGGAAAATTACATGAAACAGGTGTTTCGAGTAATTAGACTGTGAGGAATTTCAGGTCCGATTTTGCAAGGACGTAAAATCGATAATCCCATTGTACAGTTCCAAATTTATTTGAGACGCTCAAAAAAAAGTGCCTAATCAATCACCAATTTTTTTCCTATAATAAATAAGATTACAAGACATATGTGGCTATTTATTAAAATTCGCTATAGTAACTGCGGACGAGTACCATGTATATAGTAAATTATGTGTGAATGTGTATTGAAAGTATATTGATTTAGAAATCGATACTAGAATTTGTCTATTACGGTCGAAGCCGGATCTTCATTGCTTTAAATAATTCATTCAATCTTGAATTACTAATATACACTATATATGTACTTGCATATTTTGTAGTCTTTTCAAACTGCGCGTCGAATTGTTTTTCCGGACTATAAACGCAATTAAAATTACTCGGCATGCAGTTCTAAAATGACTACAATGTGGTATATATGCAAGTACATATATAGTGTATATTAGTAATTCAAGATTGAATTATTTAAAGCAATAAAGATCCACAGCTTCGACCGTAATTTTTCTAGTATTGTTTGTGTTTCTCACATATGCGGTTTAAAATAATGATTCTTAATATATTAATTTAATATAGTACAACAGGACCTATGAATTATCTAGATCTCTAGAGCATTTGTTCATGCGCGTTTAGATGATGGTGAAAATGACCGAATAAACTCGTAGAAATGTATCTATTATGAAAACATAATTTTTTGTTTACAAATTTATAGTAATTACTAAAGTGACATTGATTTTACTAAAATATGTAATAATATCCTCAGCATTGGCAAATGTAAAGAAAAATGGTTAGATTCGACACAATATAATTGCACAAAGCTGCTTATAAATACGCGCAATCGTCCACACACACAGGAACCTGATTCCCAATTTTACTTGCGTTGTTCGCAAACAAAATTCTATGTTTCCATTTATCATCGTCACACGCCAGTATACAAAAGCGACTGGAAAAAATTAAATACTACGAATATGGAATAATGTCCCACTTTGAAAAGTTTCTTCGAGATCTCTAATACAATTGATAACATTAAGGCTTTAACCAAGCGTAGTTTATACCGTTTCCACATTGATTGATACATCCCGATATTATTATTTCAAATTCTAGAAAACTGTAAAAGATAACAATTTTCAGACTTTAAGGTTTGGAGTAATCAAGTTTGCTGTTATTAATATCTGAAGAAAGTAATTGTGTATATGGATAATCCATATATAAAATTCAACTAAATATATATAATATATATATATTTATGAAATTTTTTTTAATTCTAACTTTAGCCATGTAATAGTCACTGTCGAGCAGCTAGCTGGTTATTGGAGCGATACAATTGGTACAGAGACAATCGCGATGTTCGAGAATATATGATGCCTTTCATTATATTGTAACGACGGTATCAAACCTTTACGTTACATATAAATAAATTTAAATTTTCTTATCATTGTATAATGATAAGTACATATTTTTAGTAATCCTCTATTGAAAGAAATAACATGAGTATGTAGGTGAATGTTTACAATAAGCGAAAAAGAAATGAATAAAATTTTAATGAATTATCGTATTGAGAAGCGAACGATGTCCATCGATTCACAGATACCGATAAACAATAAACGAATTAACAAAGGACGCAAGAATATACAATTAATTTTTTAAAGAATTAATTAGTTTATTCGTTAAATAATTTCAAGTTACCATTTCAGACATTATATATTAAAAATTAGATTTCAATCTCAGACTATGTCGCTTGCTGGAAAGCACCAAATTATCAGATAATTACTGAATACAAAAAATGAGAAACTATCACTACAATAGTATCATTCGCATTTATCCTGTATCCACAATTCTATTCATCCCTATACATAATTTCATATCTTGAGAAAATATCAGAAACATATCCTAAAAAGTAGCTGTAAAAGTTTCTACGAGAAGCCTCTCCATAAGAGATATTACAATAAGATGCATCTTAGTAAGATGCTTCATTATACTGGACCTTTTCATAACGAGATTGTCGATGACAATTGTTTACTTTCAAAATTGTATAATTTTGATATAACTGATAAAATTAAAGAATCAATAATTGCAGTACTCACTGTTTTTTTTTTTGTACACGTCCAAACAGTAGAATTATATCTTTCTCGCTCATTGAATAGTTGGCCTACATATCCATGTTGTTTCTTTCTTTAGTATGATACAGAATCGAGCGAATGGGACAGAGTTTGAAATGAAAGAAACGGCTATGTTTATTACAGGGTTAGTGTAATCAAATTAATGTGTGGCACATTGGACTCGCGATGGACCTCCTTCGTCCTCTTCGTACGCTTGTCTCGTGTCTCTCCGCCTTTGCTCCTGCTCAGGATCCAAGTCAGTAAGTAAACACTCCTCGGCACCGTCTGGAATTATAACCTCTTCCCTCGGCGGCAGACATTGTTCCAATGATGGAATAAGCGATGGGTCTATGCTCTTCGGGAAATTGACTATAAATTGTATTATAAGTCTGCCGTGTGTAAATGGATCTTTGTAAATCGGCATGCCCTCATTCAAGATGCATTTCAAGTCACCGTGTTTCGTCACAGTGCCGGGAAGTGAGGTTATCACTAGATCTCTACCATCCAAAGTACGGATAACTTTCTGGAATCCACATAATGCCTCTACGAGTTCTAGTTGCATTCGCATAATCAGATCGTTTCTTGAACGCCTATAATTTAATTGATCGCAGCTTATTAGTAACAGTTAAATAACTAGCTCCCTAATAAATATTCCATTAAAATACTACTAACTTGAATACATCATGATCTTTTTCTTCAAGAAGAATAACTATATCGCCAGGCTCCAAGTCTGGTTCCTGATCACCTTCGCCACTGAAAGTTATCTTTTGACCATCAACCATTCCTGGATCAACATGAACCTCAAGTATCTTTCTATCTCTAATAGTCTTTCTTCCATTGCAATATTTGCAACGATCACGGGGATTAATACGTTCCCCCTGTCCTTTGCAATCTGCACACATGGTTTGTAAATGTTGTAACATTCCCGGACCTAATTGCTGAATTTGTACTTGCAAGCCGGAACCATGACACGTCGAACATTGTTCAACAGAACCTTTCTTTCCACCGACACCTAATCGAAAAATCGACAGATATATCATATTCTCCGTGTCTACACAGATATAGATCTTTTTAAAATTACAATCTCCATACAACCGTTACCTTCACATTTCTCACAAATAACATTCTTTTGCAGAGCCAGTTTACGCACAGTTCCTTTGTAAAGTTCCTCGAGGGAAACTGATAATTGATGCATTACATCTTGACCTCTGCGTTCTCTCCTCCTTGCTCCTCGTCCGCCAAATCCTCCTCCAAAGAACATATCGAAGATATCCATAGGAGAAGAGAAGCCACTACCACCCATGCCACCTTCTTTCAAAGCTTGCTCACCACCTTGATCATAGATACGCTTCTTCTCCGGATTTGACAATACTTCGTACGCTTGAGAAATTTGTTTAAACTAAAACGTATATTTTATAATATTAAATTATATTAAGTTTTATTACAAGTAAACTCTAATCAATAAATATTTTAAATGATAAGTTTCATACAAACCTTTTCTCCTTCATTAGGATTTTTATCAGGATGATACTTTAAAGCGAGCTTTCTATAGGCCTTCTTCAAATCTTCCTGCGAGCATCCAGGCTTCACGCCTAATACATCATAAAATGTAGTCTCCTTAACCATTTTCACGGTATGTTAAGTAGTTAGTGTTATATTAAACCACTCTTGCTGCTGTAAACAAGAAAAAATACTATAACGAATGCTTTAATTTTTTTATATTGCTATTAAATACATAGGTCTGTTCTTTGTCGTTGCACTGAACTGTACCAAAACTTTTTATATCTTGTTTGACACCAAACTATGAATATACATATTTTTTTTAATGGAAAATACATTTAATCTGCTGATAAAATAACATCAAAAAATTGAAGGAATATTGAATATATAGCTACAAGAATAGACCTGATGATGTAATGCACAAAAAATTGTGTCAAAATGTCAAAATGTTACTGCCGAGAAAACGACATCGGAGAATTCGAGGAAAAACAAATTCATTATATCGATGAACTAAACAGCTCGTGATGTTACAACATACATGCGCATTGCAAGATCAAAAAGGTAGACAAGTTTAACTCATAATTAATTCATAATTTTAAATGAGGAATGTATCGTTTTCGTAGTGTTACATAATTGAATCTAGACTCACAAATTTCAATATGGTCAGATTTGATCAGACAATAAATACATGTAACTGTGAATCGTTTTTATGAATATTTAAATTAATAAATGTTCAAGTTATATAAGATACAATGAGTAACAAAAGAGCCTTTAGCAACAGTGGCCCAAGTGAGAGAACTTCCGGCTTAATGACCTCGAGTTTCAAGTCTTCACTTGTAGTTAACAGCGAAAATGGCAAAATTGAAAACAGGAAAGTTTTGTTGAAGCATAAATGCCCAATTGTACCGACACTTGTTTCTTCCTCTTTTTTCTCATTTTTACCGCGACTGATTTCAAGCCTCGCAACGCATGCAGACAACTTTTTCACGCAATTTGTTGCGTGTGTTTGTAGAGGTAAAAGTCGTGCGTTCGTTCGTCAATTCAAAGAATATAAATTAATATAAAACACCCATGCGGAATTCACACGAATTTCAAAATGGCGTCTACAGTAGGACTGGGAGTATGCGATTGAATAGATCAGCGAGCGGAGTATTTTAAAAGGCAAGGCGCGTGCCGTGGACGCTTCGCGAACAAAGACCGCCTCACCGAGCTTTCCACTTTCGCATAGATGTTACCGAGCACGCGGGTTCCCAAGTCGATCGAACGACAAAATCGGTGTAACGAAGAGTTTCGCTCCCGATGAATTTTTATGCGTGACGCACGTATTTACGCTATCACGAGAAAAACGCGTTTTCCTCGCGATAAGCGACTCTACTTTTTCTTTTCTTTTTTTCTATCTCAATCTCTCCTTTTCTCAGCAGTGGCCGATGCCTTGGTGTATCGTCAATCGACACGAGTCGTCGGGCAAGCGTGCGCGCAGACTTGGTAGCCAGGTTACTGGCTTCCATCTTTCTTTTCAAGCTCACGCTCGCCGTCGCAATGGGACTAGAGTACTCGCCTGGCGATTCCCGCTTCGTAACGTCCATCAATGTGCAATCGTGCGAAATATATCGCCGCGCAACCTTCGACCGTCCGCCAAGCCAAGGCGCTCCTGCCCCCCACACCCCTTCGCTGGTTTCGGTGACCGTTACGCGGAGCTAGACCAGGAGAAACCGCGACGAAATCCCGAAATCCCAACGTGGACAGAGATTCCGGAAAATTTTATATAAATGTCTACGCCTCTCACGCGAGCACGCTAAACGCCGATTACGTTTTCCAGGGAAAGAGAGAGGACGAATATCGCGAGCGGACCAACCGATCGATCGATCGCGCGACTCGAGCCGTTCGTTCAGTCCCTTGTTCGCTCCCGGTCCACGCCGTCAGATCGGCCACGGCGAGACTACAAGAGTGAAGAGTATCCCGGGATTCGCGAGAGTTACTTACCTGCGTAAACGACGAGGAGTGTCGCTGTAAAGAATGACCGCGCACGTTTCGTGCGACACCCGTTCTGCCTTCGCGTCCGCGTCACAACGTTTCACGTACGAAACTGAGCACCGAGCCCGGATTCCGTGCCGTGCCGTGCCGTGCCGTGCGACTCCGTAGTCCACCGTAATCCACCGTAGTCCGTGCGCCCACGTCGCCTTGCCGCCTGCAGTGTATGTTCTCGAAACTTCCTAGAGAACGGCAGTGGTCAACGTCGGTCGTCGAGCCGACGGCTGAGCGCCAATCAGCTGCCGACGTTGGCGGAAGCGCTACGCGCACAGCCTCGGTCTCTTTCGAAACTTCCCAGTTCCCTCAAACTCACGCGTCGATCATGCAGTTTTTTTTTTCGGTCGATATGACACTTTCTCTCTTTTTTTTTTTTTTAAATTATTTATAGATATTAAAATATCCCGTGTTTTCTTTTATTTTGTTTGTTACAAATTTTACACCACGGACTTCTGCACTTTTTTTCTTTACTTTTTTTCTAGAGTCTTTTTTTATTATTCTCGCTGTACTAATTCAAAGTACAGAAGTCTGCCCTTGGGACAATTTAGGGGCTCCGCACAATCAGAAATAATGTATTGTGAATACACAGTTTCTGATAGGAAATTCTTATTCTCTGTTCTCTATTCCCTGTTCCTTTTATTGTGCGGAGCCCCTTACTTTTAAGTAAAGTTAAGATTTTGTAAAGTTATTAAGAGAATTTACTTACAAATTTTAACTCGAGTGCCAAATTTAATTTAACTATTTCAATGTGGTAACATTTTGAAAATTAAATAGAGGATTTTCAATTATTTTTAATCGATAATGTCGATCGTAAATATAAACAATACGATTTTTTCTAACGTAAAATACACGCGAATGTTGCCATGTAATCTTTCGTAGATGGCGGTGCACGTTTCCGAACGTCCCTTTTTCCAAGCGGTACACTAAACAACGATAACCCGTCAAAATGGTATGTAACTTATATCGAAGAATTCTATAGTAATCATCTAACGAAACGTGCAACATTCAATTAAATATTTAATAATGGTATCTAACAAAATACGTGTTGTGTATATCATGTTCAGAAAGTATCAATTACAAATATAGTAAAATTAATCAGACACGACGTGACATAACCTCAATTGAGAAATACATGTTTGTAATTATGTGTGACCATTTGTGACATTTTATGGGATAATAGATCATAAAATTAATTGAAATTTTTTTATCTGTCTTCTAATTTATAGTATTCGTCATTCAATTTCGATATGCTGAAAATATCTAATAACCTAATCTAACCTATAAATAAAGAAATATATTTTGATTTTTGCTTACAGTCGGAAGGTACAGCTACCATCAGGACGAGAAAGTTCATGACCAATCGGCTTTTATGCCGAAAACAAATGGTTAGTGTGAGACCCAAGTATCTATGATTTCAATCCATTATGAAATCCAGATGAAAATTTATACAATTTATTTTGATCGCAGGTCGTAGATGTTATTCATCCTGGCCAACCATCAGTTCGTAAGACCGAGATTCGAGAGAAATTAGCCAAGATGTATAAAGTGACTCCAGATGTTGTCTTTGTGTTTGGCTTCCAAACCAACTTTGGTGGTGGTAAATCTACTGGATTTGCACTTATCTACGACACATTGGATTTTGCTAAGAAATTTGAACCTAAATATAGGTTAGCAAGGCATGGTCTTTTTGAAAAACAAAAACAAACTAGAAAACAGCGTAAGGAACGCAAGAACAGAATGAAGAAAGTTAGGGGTACTAAAAAGAGTAAAGTTGGAGCAGCATCCAAAAAGGTAGGCGAAATAATATATTTCGAATATATTTCTTTCATATAAACATTTCTTGCTCTATTACTCGAACATTAATGTTATAACATTGCAAAAAATTTCTTTATTCTATCTCTTAATGCTTTTCGATATCAAATATCTTATGCATGTTTCTTTCTTTTTTAATCACATGGGCTTTAGCTTAAATCTCTTATATCAAAATTGTAATTGTCTTTAAATTGTACGTTCTATCTGATGTTGTAATTTTTTCTTTGTTTTCAGTCAATTGATTATATTAATGCACTATTTTATTTAATAAAATCAGTTTGTATTGAAAGTTCTCATATGACAATTTAAATTCCTAATATTATTAAATAGATAACTTTAAATACATGATATAAATGTTCATATATTTATTAAAAAGTTAGATTCAGTAAATTTGTAAAATTTAATTGGTTTAGCTTTTTACATTTCTCATACAGTACGGTAGTTGTGTGATATGTTCTAATGATAAAAATGAAAAATATTAAGTATTTTTTTTATTGATGACATAATAATGTTCATGGGCAATTCAGAAATAAATTTTCCTTTGGTTCGATGTCTATTATGCATGCTACGGTGGTATACGCTTCTTATTCACATTCTAGGGAAGGAAATAGAGAAATGATCATCATTTGTACTACAGATTTCTGGAGGAGCAATTTCTTATTGCTTAATCAGGGTCAGCATGCAAATCTTTAAGTTTCATATTTTTGTTCATTATTGTATGAGCATGCTAATATTTTTTTTATTCTTTAACAGCATATATACATGTTATATTTTTATGATTTATTTATTATTTTACTAATCATGTAATTCTAATATTCCAGTAGTTTGTTAATACATAGTAATATAAAAATGTAATATTTTATTTTCATGATATGAAAATACAATAATCTTACATATACTATTATATTTTCATATCATACATCTTTGATGATGTAGAGTGTAGATTTAGAAACTGTATAATTAGGTATAAGACTTAATTATTTATATTTGCATTTTGCTGCGTAATAATTTAATTCTAAACTTACACTAACATGTTGTCTGTATCACTTCAATTAAAATTAAAATTAAACTTTTACTATAGTAATCAAATTGTTTTAAAAGTAGTTATTACTATAAATTAGGCTACGTTCTTCAAAAAAAAAAGAAATTATATTTGTGAGTTTATAATTAACTTTCCCTTGCTCAAAAATTGATTTCAATGAATCACAAATATATTAACAAAGTAACAAACAATTTTATTTTATTTTAAAATTTATTCTGTGTTATATTTGCATTTTATATTAATATAAAATTAAGTATGCACGAAAATTGCTGAGGTTTAAACAATTTTGTGTGAAAATTGAATATACTTGAATATTGAATTATATTGAATTTTTTGTACATATATTTTTTATATTTAACTAATACGCTTGAGAGAGCATATGCTTTATATATTAATTACAGATATGTAAATGTATGTGTACTATTCTATTGCTATAACTATTTGTATTAAAATTGGTTGTGTGCATGTTAAAAAGTTGATTTTAAATAAAAAAAAAGATATATTATTTTTTAATACATTCACATTTTTTTTATTACAGTAAAAGAAGCTATCTTGAAGACCACACAATCATCGACGTAAAAGTTATTATATTTTACTATGGAATAGCGCTGAAATTATAATAAATTTTACGGAATAAACGTGTATTCTTCTTGATGAAAACCTGTTTATCACATTTTTCTTGACATCTTGTAACAATGTTTTGTTAAAAAGTTTATTATATTGAATTAATGCGCTATTATTTTTTTTACTTTTCAATTTTCAGTATATTAATATTTTTATATCTAATCAATATGTATTTACAACTTACATACTTAAAACTTTATTAAAAACCATTGAAAATATACACCTGAATTTTTTTTATGATATACAATCTGTTTAAAACGCTATAACTTCGGCAGATGCTGGACGAGGTTTCTTTGTGGTACGTTTATTAACGGTCTCATTATCTTCTACTCGCTTACTAGAGAAAGTTTGTTCGGTGGACGTTTCAGATGAGTCAGTGGTAGTAGTAGTAGTAGTTAATTCCTCAGAAGACGTATTGTCTGCTTCATCAGAAACTGCAGATTCGATAGATGTTTCGATCGATCTGACAGAAGTTAGATCAGTGGATGGTGTCAATGTGACGGAAAACATAGTAGTATCAACTGACGAAACAATTGACTCGGTAGATGTTAACGTAGAATTAGTAGGTGCTGCAACCGGTACACTATTCATTACAACAGATTCACTGGAAGTTATCATTTCTTCACTTGATGAATCAACTTCTATATTCGGCTCTATGGAAGCTGTACTTAATTGGGTAGTAAGTGGAATCGATTCGGTAGAAGTCACGATAGCCTCGGTAATTGTTACAGTTGATTCGGTAGAAGTTAATTCTGATTGCGTTTGAGTAACAGTTTGGGTGGTCTGTTGCCTTGGTGTAGTCCATTCGATCTTTGGTGTAGCCGTTGTAAGTTGCGTAGTTTTC